GTAATTTTGTTTGTTCTCTCCTCTTCGCACTCACTCTTTTATGAGGGTAGAGAAGTGATTAAGGAGATCAGTGATGTCCTGGCCTACATGTTCCACCCTTATTCATTTATTTGTTTGTTTGTTTGTTTGTTTGTTTGAGATACCAAGGCCACATATAGTATCCATCCCTCATCTTCCAATGGCGAGTCGATCCTTAATCCTTTACCTGTTATACCTGAAAATGTTGGGCAGGTCCCAGGTAGCTTGGATGCATTTAATTTGGAGTGGGAGAGAGGAAAAAGGCCTCTAGAGCTCTTTAATCTGGTTCCCATGAGAAACTCTTGCTTTGGGGATTATTAGGAAAAGAATTTCAGCTTAAATTGATGGTGAAAATAAGAGCCCTAAACCCGGAGTCATGTAGCCTAGTGTTCATTCTGGATTCTCATGAATTTTCTACAACTCATTTCATTTTCTTAGACCTACCATACCCTTCATGTTGCTTTTGTAGACTCAAACTTGTATCAGACCGTTCTGGTTTCCTTTAACGTTGCAACCAAGAATTATTTACTGAGAGCCTGTTAAAGGCCAAGCACTGCATTGGACACTAAGGAAATTGTTGTCACAATTGCTGATTGAATACAATGTCCATCCCCACTTGGGTAGAACATTCTAGTGATAGTGTCAGACATTAGCAAATCGTTAACAAAAACTATAATTATAATTTCAAGAATGCCTTCTTTCTTTGCTGTTTTAATTTATTTTGAATATGTGTGTACTTTATCTTTCAAGGAAATGCAGTTGTTTTTTTTAAAGATTTATTTATTTATTTGAGAGAGACAGAGACAACGAAAGCATAAGCAGGGGGAGTGTTAGAGGAAGAAGCAGGCTCCCTGCTGAGCTGGGAGCCAAGTGAAGGGCTTGATCCCAGGACCCGGAGATCATGACTTGAGCCAAAGGCAGACACTAAGCCATCTGAGCAACCCAGGTGCCCTGGAAATGTAGTTTTAAAAGTCAGCATCCATAAGTTGAGTAACACAAACCTGTAACTGTAAATAACTGTAAACCTAAGTTGCTCATGACCTACTCTTTAGTACAGTTAGTTTAAGCTCTTGGAAAGAAAAAAAAATGGATTAAGCTACTAAGAGAAGGCCTGTGAAGTTTAAAAATTTGTATTATAATCCATGTGTTTAGGCATCAATGGATGAACCCAGCACGTTTATTTGCTAGAAGAGAAACTTCAAGAATGCATTCAAATTTCCATGTCAGTGCATGTCACTGTTGAGAAGCAACGTAGACTGAATATAGTTGATCTGGTGTTTGTTGGCTTTACCATGTGAAACAGAATTGTTCGGTCAGCATTCCTACAATGATGCCAGTCAATTTTGTCTTTAAAAAAAAAATCAACCTTTGGCATCTGTATTATTGCAATGTTCTTGTCCTATTTAGCAAATGTACAGAAAATAGATGTGACTGATTTTTTCCAAGCTTGCAATTCAAAGTTGTTATTTTTGTCCAAAAACTTAGGAATTTGGGGAAAAAACTGTTTCTTCTTTAGTACCCATGAGAGTTTATTTTCCTTACTCTTCTACAGTTCCAAAATCTTGGGAAATTTTGTTTTCTTAAGGGTTTCCTTTCATTTTTAGCTTCTTGGTAGCTGGATTTTAAAGAAAATTCCTTATGGATAATGCATGAAATTTTTTTTATTAAAAGTCATGTTAAATAAGTAAAACTTATTCTCACTTAAACTTTACAATAAGAGAAAAGCAACCAACAAAAGTGTAAGGTAACTGTGAGTATGATAGTAATCAAAGAAAATTATTTTAGGTGCTTTTTTGATATCCCTGGGGCTCCTGCTTAGGAAGAATACCAAGGGGGCCAGATAAATCCCAGCATATTGCTGTATCTTATGGTGAATGTGATCAACCAAGAACTCATGGGTTTGTGTCCAGTAACTCGATAGATTGAGAAAAAAAGATATATATCGTTTCGTCAACAGAGAGTATACTTAAATTTCATATATCCAAAATGGACTCAACAGTGTGTTTATGTCATTGTGCTATTGTGTCAAAAGAAGTGTAACCCTAATAACTGTAGAATGCCTAAATGACCCAGTCTTTGCAGAAAGATTTTTAAAGGCACACAATTTAAGAGTCATAGTTGATTTTAAAATAATCACATTTTAGACTTTTGTCTTACAAAGATGCTAAAACAGCTCTAGTTCATAATCGTCAAAAATATCTATCAAAATCCCTCATGCTCAACACTCAGGCCTCTTGGTTGCCCTAAATTCATAAGAGCTTCTTTCCTGACCCAGTTTTTCCTCTTTCTTCCTGACCTAGCTTCTCCCTTGACCCAGCTCCTCCCCTTTCTACATTCCTGACCCAGTTTCTCCCCTTCTCTCCTGACCCAGATTCTCTCCTAACCCAGCTTCTCCCCTTTCTTCTCTTCTGACCCAGCTTCTCTCCTGAGCCAGCTTCTCTGCTTTCTTTTCTCCTTGACCTACCTTCTCCCCTGACCCACCTTCTCCCCTTTCTTCTTTCCTGACCCAGTTTCTCCCCTTTTCTCCTGACCCAGCTTTTCTCCTGACCCAGCTTCCCTTTCTTCTCTCCTTGACCCAGCTTCTCCCCTTTCTTCCCTCGCATTACCATTAGTGTATGTATCATCTTAACCTCTTCCAAAGAGAAGAATGTTCTTCTTCTCTAGCAAAAAATCAAACACAGAAATAACCCAGTTGGAGAATCATCTTCATGGGCAGGATTTCAGGAGGAAGGCTGTGAGCATCACTCTGAGTCACACTGACTGTTACAGAGTGTCACCTAAGAGTCCTTCCTGGCCCTGCCATTCTATTCTCCCATCCAATGAGTAGCTGTTGAGCCACTGACCACATTTCAGGGATTAATGCACACCTTGGGCTGAAACGATGAGCAAAAGAGAGAGCATTTCTTTCCTGTGTTATTGTTTCTATTGCTGCTGTAGAAAATAACCATATACTCAGTGACTCAAAACAACACACATTTATTATCTTCAGTTCTATTGGTTAGAGGTTCAAAATGGACCTCACTGTACTGAAATGAAGGTGTATGCAAGGGTACATTCTTTTTTGGCAGCTCCAGGGGAATCCGTTTCCTTGCCTTTCCAGGTTCTAGAGGCTGCCCACATTCCTTGGCTCATGGCTCCCTTGCTGCATCTTCAAAGCCAACAATGGTGCACGTCTCTGGTCATCACTCCATAGTCACAACTCTCTCTGACTTTCTTCTGCCTCCCCTTCTACTTTTAAGGCCTCTTGTGATTGCACTGGACCCACCTTGATAATCCAGAATCATCTCTCTACCTTCAAATTAACTGATGTTCCACCTTAATTCTATCTGCAACCCCAAAACTAATCACGTACTCATGGTTTTGAGGGTTAAGATATGGAGGTTACTATATTGGAGGTTATTATACATGGAAGTTATTATATTGCCCACCAGTGAAATAGGCTGTTCAGGTTTGCAGAGAATCTAAACCAGTAATTAGGCAATCAACACACAGTGGGCTTAGTACTGATGGGGAAAGTCTAGGAATGCCTAGAAGGGTCACCCAGCAGGGATTTCCAGGTTGGAGAAGCTTTTCCAGAGAAAGTACTAATGAAGCTGAGGTTGGGGAGAGAAGTGGGCATAATCAATGGATGTTGTGGTTCTAGGGGTAGGAAGAACATTCCACGGAGAAGGAATACCAACCACATACCCACAGAATGCAGAGAGGGAAGACAGAGCATCCCCCAAGTTGGAGATTAAAAGAAGTTCCTTATGTCTGGGGCAAGGACTCAGGATGGGGTAGGAGCCTGGGCCTGTGAGTTCCGAAAAGCAAGAAAGGACCAGATCATAAAGAGATGTGTTGGCCTTGCTAGGTGGGAAGTGGGGTGAGGCCCCACCCTTCTCGGAATGCATACCCACTTCAGGGTTTCAACCAAAGGTTGGTTGGCATTGCATTGACATTTGAAAAACACCATTCTGGCAGCTGTGTTTAAAATAAGTTAGAGGAAGGTCAGGCAGGACATCTTATTAGTGACCTAACTGGGTAAAAGTAAAAGATCATCCATTAATTAGGATAACAGACTAACCATTTCATGTCAAGTTAACTCCAAAGAAAAACAGTGTTAAGCAAGAGACCTGAAAGTGTCAGATGCACTCAGATCTAAGTGATGCTGATTATTGAAAGAAAGCGTCTGTGAAGAAATGGGGAGGATGACTATTTGGAAAATGAAAACTATGAGAAAAATATTTTTTAAAAAGTACCTATTAGCCACAGGGTGCTTAGGCGGCACAGTCAGTTAAGCGACCAACTTTTGGTTTCAGCTTAGGTCATGGTCTCAGGGTCATTAGATTGAGCCCCACGTCTGGCTCCATACTCAGCATGGAGTTTGCTGAAGATTCTTTCCCTCTGCCCCTCTCCCACTCCATGTGCAAGCTCTTTCTTTCTCTCTAGAATAATTAAATCCTTCTTTTTTTAAAGTACCTATTGGCCATATTAGAAACTTATCTCAAATTGCACCTGATTGTTGCAAACATATGCAAATTGTCTTTTAGTCAGCAATTGGTGTTAATGAACTAAGGGCATCAATGGTTCATCCTGTGGTCCTATTGTCCTGTGGGAGGTGGAGGATGGGGGATTGCTCTGTGATATGACACTATACCGCACAGCATAGATAAATTGTACATTGGAATTAATCTACAAATTTATCACTTAACTTTTAAATGCTTTTGGTGACTTATATTTTTATCTCTGTTGTAATTTCTCGCAGACACTTGGCACTTCTTTCTCATCAGTAAGATCTGACCAGTAAGTCTTTTCAAATTAAATAGACAGCAAAGTGTCACATATTCCCCCTGGATTCTAGTTCTCATTTCTTTGACAATTTGTTCTGTATTTACGATAAAATAAAGGAAAATGTTCTAATTTAAACCTTTCAAGATTTATGAGAAGCATACTGTCTGCTTGGAGAAGTTGAAATCCAGAGAGTTGGAAAATCAGATGGATTGAAGAGAGTTTTTTATACCTCTTATTTGTACTTTCCAAACTACCTGAAGTTGCCAGCTTGGGTAGAACATCTCGTAACAGGCTTCCTGGTGAGAGTTTTGACACTTCCACTTCTGGTTCCTATTGGAAATACCACAAAATAAGCCTTCTGTGCAGCATTTCAGTAGTTCTCATGCCAATTCAGGAATTACAGAAAGAGAAACTTACCCTCAAACTTCAGAACTTTAAAAGGCTGTAGTTTGAAATTAGTGGTCAAGCTCTAATGGCGCTCCAAAATCCCGGATTTGAAGATAAGTCTAGCAAGAAAGAAAGCTTTTAGTTGAAAGTAACAGCAAACTGGATAAACACAGGCTTACACAGGAGACATCTGCTATTTACTTAAAATCAAAATCAGGAGGGTAAATCTTCCAGAGCTGGGCCAGCCACTCCGCAACATTGAAGTTAATCACTATTTCCTATCAGCTTCAACATCTCAAGATTTTTCTGGGACTGACCATGAATTTGTTGTTCAATTCAGAACACTTTTGAGTATGAAAAGGGCATTATCAAAAATTATACTGGGCCAGCAGGATTCACCTGAGATTGTCTCAGGCAAATGAGTACGTATAGTTACACAATTTTTTTTTCTCATGCTGTTGCCTCATTGTCTCAAAATGGCTGTCACAGTTCCAAATACTATTCCTATCACCACAGACAAGGGCAAGAAGCAAGGTGAAGAGAACATGATAGCAAGCTGACTTTCCAGGACTGCCCCTTTATCAGAAAGAAACTGTTTTCTCAGAAGCCCTCATAAGATATCTATCTACATCTCATTGCCACCATTAGCTGCAAGAAAAGCTGAGAACTTGTGTTAGCCAAATAGAATCAGTCATGATAAGTTTGGAATACTAAGAGCTTAACACCTGGGGCAGGGCCCAACAAACAAAAATGGGGCTGTTAACAGGGAATAAGGGAGATGATATGGTCCATGACTAACTGGGAAGGCCTCAGCCAATGTCAACTTCCACCCTTTTAAAACAGGGAAATTGTTACGACGTTGGTATTTGAACATAACTTTATGTCAGAGTTTCTAGATTACACAAATATTCAGGTTCTCCTGTACAGCTTTGTATACGTCAAGTTTATATTTTCTACCCTCCCTTGCATTTAGATATGTCCATATGGCTGAATTCTGATATAATCTGTGCCATTTTGGGGGAAGCCTCAAAAAACCCTCTAAGGGCAATTCTCCCTCTCTCTTTCCATTCACTAACAGGAGGGAGACAACTCTGGGAAGGATCATAGAGGAAGGTGAAGCCTTGGGGCAGAAGAGCTTGGGTTTCGTAATGATGATACATGATGAGCAGGGCTCTTTCCACTGAAGGGGCAGTGACATGCTAAATCACAAAAATACTGAGGTGGACTGTTAACATTGGTTGGTCTGTCCCAGAGAATACTGTCCATTTTTGCAATATTTCTTATCAGCTGGATTAATTCACTTGCCTGACTCAGGTGGGAAAAACCACTCCACTCTAACATCCTTAGGTGGTAGCACAGAGCTTGGCACAGAGTAGGTCCTCATTACACGGGTATAAATGATTAAAAGGAAAACCCTACCAGAGAACCAAATGGGCTCTTCCATCTGGTATCTCCAAATGCAAACCGAAAATAGAGGAAACAGTCTTCACATCCTATTCTGTGTCTGCAGATAAAGGAAGTTCTTGATAATAAAACACAAAATCATTTTTCACTTTTGTTTTTCAAAATCAGTGTCTCCCTCACTAACTGTCCCTCATGACCAGGCTGGTCCTCATAGGCAAATCAACGTGGCTTTTCTTCACTGGCCATCACCGGCCACTCGAAGGGGCTGCTAGTATCCATCCTGTCTTCACTGTCAAGTTAAAACACATGTGAGACTGGAAGCTGCCATGGGTGAGAGGCATCTAATCTATGTCTGTCATCAGTCATGTTGTGACCTCTCTAAGCGAAGAGCTACATACTCTCTCAAGTCCTTTCCTGTGGGTTCCTTCTTGTGGCCCCAAAGGAAGCAGGGTCACAGATCTGGCTGGGAGCACAGGGCAGGGAGGGGGGTGAGGTAGGGGTGTGGTGTGACCCTGACTCCGCTGACAACCACTGTGAGGACTTCAGTGGCCAGGGGCTTATTTGGGAGCCACTACCAGGGACTGCTTCTCATTGTAGGAATTTTATTGAGCTCTTTCTTGTGATCTTTTGTTAAGCCAGTTATTAAACAACAATGAACAGTAGTAATAGTAATAATAATAATAAGTAAAATTATGAAATTGGCTTTGGAATAAATTATGTACTATAAAGTACCTTTTTATGTGCCTCACTTGGCCTGTGTCACTGAAAGCAAATTCAGGGTGACAAGCAGTAACAAGCGTGCATGTGTCAAAGTTAACAGCATCGGGCTGGGGTCAGAACGTCAACTTTAACCTTCACCAGCCAGGAGGCTTTGGACCCAAGTTTGTCCTCTTATTTTCCATATCTTAAAACATCACGGACAATAAACAAGGTTTTAGGGTTTTGTTGGGAAGAGAACATAAGATAAGAGCTTGGCTGGTAATACCTGTCATACACTGCAGACACAGCGCTGTGGGAACCCGGGCAGTCAGATGTCATTCCTCTCCATGAGGATGCTCTTCCTGAGCCACTGAGCACCTGGGTGCAGAGCCGGAGGAGTGTGTGTGGGCGGGGGGCATTTAGGCCTCCACATTCCGTGCTAACTTTATGCTCCTAGCAGAGAGACTTATGTTTCCCTACTGCATCCTGGCTGTATGTTAGATTCTCTGGGGTCAAGTGCCACTCACGAAGGTGCTATTTCATTGTACTGAGTAGCACTTACAAGGCCGGCCTATCTTTAACATAGTGCCGTGATGCTGAACCCTTGGCAAAGGGCACAGAGACAGGAGGCAACTGTGGTGCTTTCTCCTTTTCTTAAAAGATCTTAAAAATGAATGGCAATATCAAAAGATGGAGTTCTAACCACCAGGCACAAGTCCAAGTTACCCCTGGTGCATGATATTTCCAGTGCTGTAAGAGCCAAAGCTGAGACTCCGAGGCAGAAACCAAGTAGTTACGGGCTATGGAACCTGGGGCCCCGCATCTCCTGGTGCTCAGGGCTCATCCTGAGCGCGAGGGCAGGTGCACCATAAACTACACCAGCAGTGCCTTGTGAAGCCTCTTTTCCATAGTACCCTGCAAGCAGTTGGGGATGCCCTGGATGCCCTTAAATCTGGACATGGATCTGTCTCTTAGCATTGCTGATCACCGCGCAGCAGCTGCGTGAACATTACCTCTACCCAAGTGGCAAGAATCTTTTGAAAAATCTGCACCAGCGCCAATGCTTGAAAAAGAAAGCACCCAAGGCTTCTCATTCGCAGTGGCTCTAGCAAAATGGGTGTCCTAAAGACAGCATGCACCTCTATCCAGGATCTGAAAAGCCATCACAGAGGATTTCCTAGAAGTACTGAGTGTTGGTTGACTTTGTGTTCCATGGCATACAGCCCCCCATCCCTTCCCCTGCCTTCAACTCTAGCTAGCCATTTTCCTAAATCTGCAGCCCAGGGACTTGGGTTGTCCCATTGCAAAATTCAGGCAGAAAATGCCAGAGGCTGAGTTGACATAAGCTTGGCCCACTAAGAAAATTAATAATGAATTTATGTGATCAAGTAATTAAATAAATAGAAGTTACATTGAAAGCCTGTTAGATTTTCCAGTCCAGTTATTGCATTCAAAGTTAAAATTATCAGATTCAAGGTGAGACATCTTACTATTTTTAACTGGTGATATTTAGCTTCCTCTCCAATCAAAAACCTCAATTATAAGCTGTTTTAACATATAACATGTGTGGGGCCTCTCTGTTCCACCAGAAGCAAATGTATGAGGCATTTTTCTTTCTTCTTCTTCTTCTTCTTCTTCTTCTTCTTCTTCTTCTTCTTCTTCTTCTTCTAGTGAATAGGGAGCCACACTGTGCTTTGCATGTTATTTTATTTTGTTCTTTAGGATTTAGTAGATATGGGGATGTATTATTATCTCATTTAATTCTCATAATAGCCTACTGTTTACTAGCCCCATCTTTCAAAGGAGGAACTTGAGGCCCAAAGAAGTTAAGTAACTTGCCCAAGGTCACACAGTAAGCTCAGAGCTGTGATTTTCCTGCAGGAATCTGGCTCCAGGGTGTGTAAGTTCCAACCACAGCTGCCCTTTGCAGTAAACCCTGCAGGAACCCTCACCACTGCCTCAGAAAGGATATGTTTCTTCCTTGCCCTTCTCGTTTCCTTCAGCATCTGAGGGCCAGAGACTGCTTTTGATAAATGTTGGCTGAGTAAATAAAGGTAGCAGTATTATTATTTTAAGTTTACAAGAAAAAATGGCAGCTCTGAGAAGCTAAGTAAGGCAGAGCAGAACCACTCAGGATTCAAAGTCGAGTCTGTCTGCTCTTAAAAACCATGGCATTGGCCATTCTCACAGTGCACTTAATCGCTCTGTACCTTCACTATGGAATTCTTATAAAGTGCATTATAATTTATGTACTTGTGAGCCATTCTCCTCAATTCCTCCGAGAACTTTTTCTAGGGGGAGGGTGGGGAGATGCGGTTGGCCAGCAGAGTCATTTTGCTCTTGGCATTCTGGTACCCCAGATTTGCAACAGAGAGCACTGGCAGAGGTCTGTTAAAGATGTTGTAATATAAATGAGAGCACAATGAGTGACTTAAACAACAATGCTTTTGGGCGCCAGGTTGGCTCAGTTGTTAAGCAATTGCCTTTGGCTCAAATCTTGATCCTGGAGTTCTGGGATCCAGTCTCCTATTTGGGGTCCAGCTCCGTGGGGACTCTGCTTCTCCCTCTGACCTTCCCCCTCCTCATGCTTTCTCTAGTGCGTGTGCACTCTCTCTCTCAAATAAATAAGTAAAATCTTAAAAAAAAAAAAAAAAAAAAGTTAAAAAAAACCACAATGCCTTTCAAACATTTTCTTTGCTTTTTTACAAAGGGCTACAGTCAGCGATGAGGTCATTTTTATTCTATCACTTGAACTTTTGCTTGAGAAAAACATTAACAAGCATCTCCTTCCAGAAATCTTGCAATTTGTTTAGTCATGGGGACCCTGCGGCCATCTGCTATTCAGCTGCCCGAGTTGTTTATTCATACTTTTGCCCATTCATCTGTTTCATGTTTCCTTTTGTCCATTTCTCACTTAAGATAAACAGAAACCTGTCAGCGTGTGACGAAAGCCAAGCCCCAGACTGTGTGTAATGAGAATACGCTATTTGTCAGGGGAGGGAGGAGCAGAAGGGGAAGGAAGAAAACCCACTTGCTGGTTCTTAAAAGTCAGAAGATCATTTTAAATTTCTCATTATGTCTTCCTCTTGTAGCTGACCTTCGCCATGCCCTTTGGATTACAAAAAAAGGAGGAGTGTGACATGGAGTCGTTCCAGCCATGCAGAACTTGCAACACAATTACTCCTTTTCTTATCATTTAAGGAATTTCTGGTTATTTCACCTGGGCAGAAAGTCTGCTTTTCCATCTCAGACAACATGTTTGTAGAAATGCACAGGTTTTGCAAGAAAAGAGATACCATTCTCTTAGAAACTCAGAAATGCAAGGGAAGATATTATTAATTCCTCACCTTCCATTTCTCATCACTTTGAATCGATCCCTTCCAATTATGTGTCATAAGTGACAGAATGCCCGAACCAAACCGGCTTACCCAAAATGAAATTAATTATCCCTCATACCTGCAAAGTCCCAAGGTGGGACTGATCTCACAAAAGACTTGAGCAGGACTTACATGAAATTGCTAGGGCCTGATTTCTTCTGTCATTCATCCCTGTGCCCTGTGTTGTGCAGGGAGTGGGTGTGGGTCTCCTTGTCCTGTACTTCATACAGTGGCCAAGTGGAGATGTGAGTTTCAGTGACACGTTCCCAGGGACATACTGCAAAGGAAAAGTATTTACCCTTTTCGGTTCCAGAAACTTCAGCAGATATCTCCTCATCATTCACTGACTTTGATGGTGACATACCCATTCTCCAACCCACCACTGAGGCCAGGGGAATCCAAGGCACTGACTGGCCAGGATGCAATCCTTGACAACTCTGAACCTTGGGTCGGAGGATGGAGAGGTGAGTTTACCCTACTGGATCTCTGTAGGAGATTCCCAGAGATAATCTGTAGCTACTGACCCCAGAAGGGCAAACAGACAACAAACAAAAGATCCAGATGGTTAACTTAGTAATGGTACCTGCATACTATGGGAAATTACTCAGTCATAGATTTTTTAATATGATAACATGAAAATCAAATAAGATGCATCTGATGACCTAATTATGTAAGAATCAATACATTTCAATATTAATGTAAACAATTACTAATATTAAACATATTAATATCTTAATATAAAATAACTGGAGGAGATGTGATAGGGAGTTAGTTACCTTGTGGTATCCACTCTCTCCTTTGCTCTTCTTCCTTGGGAAAAACAAAACAAAAAACAAAAACGGAAACAAGCAGAGAGAACACTGTATTTATTTTCACACATGCTTGAGAACTTGGAAAGAGAGAAACATCAGTTAAGAGGACTGTAACAAACCAGCTAAAGGAGAAGCCATTTACTCATCTCTACCAGATATGACCACTAAGGAATACAGCCTAGTTTCTAGAACTCATCTTTTAAGAGAAACTAAGAATGAGATTTTTATGTGGATTCTCCTACTTTTTATACTAATGGCTACTGACTCGGTCAGGCTGTAAAGAAAGCCATTCCTCTGTTAGGACTTCTAGCTCCTTTGACCATAAGAGTAACAGGCTGAATATGCAAAAAGATAAAAGGAAATACCTACCTCTATACCAATATCTACTTTACAATGAGAGGATTGATCAATGTAGTTAGACCTACTCTACACAAACTACAAAGAAAAGAGATGCTATTAATATCATCTTAAAGTCATTATCCTCTATTGAACCTTACTTCACACAACCTCTAGGAAGATAGTCTAAGATACTTACAACTTTCTCTAAAATCAGTCAAATTCCCTCCCAGTGAGTTCCTTCTTGGGCCTCAAACAGGATCAAATCAGTACCTAAACCACTGGGATGATTTTCAAATGTCTTTATGGGGGCCACATAGGGGATATTGATTTCTTAAGTTAAAATGTAGCCCCCTCAGCTCAATTCCCGGGACCTATGTTAATCCCCTAGTTCAACAAGTGTGGTTGGAGTTGAAATTGCTATATTTTCCAGAGCTCCAGATGTATGAGAAGAACAACTCAGAGATTCTAGCAGAATGGAAAGCCCACCTATCTGTTTTGGGCAGTCTATCAAGTGGGCCATCTTAGTCTTAAGGAACTTTCTTCATGCAATTGTTTAAAATTATGAAGTCATTAGTTACCTGATAAAGTTCCATACTTTCACTGAAGTTCCAGGTCTAGACTGAAATGTGCTATAGCTTTTGGGACTAGTGGGTATGGCTGGTGCCTTGAAACAGTTTGTACAGCTAATAAGGAGTGTCTCATATTACACAGGTGGCTGGGCTCAGGTGGACAGAGATTCATTTTGTGTTACATGCCTGCACAGCTCTGGATCCTCAAGCATGAGATGAAGTGTGGGTACCTCCCCTCAGGAGGTCCATAATATGGCAGCACCTCAGAAAGTAATATTCCTTCTTCTCAGCAAACATCCCAACTATCAGCTGGCCCAGCGTCCCTCCTATGAAACCACCTTCTCCCAGAAGCTAGGAGATCCACTGAGAAGAAAGACCCAGACCACTGGAGCTTCAGTAGGCTCCCTGATATTTTGGGAATTCTGACAGAGTTCTAGAAAGAGTTCCCATTTTAACATTTACGTGAGGAGGACAGATGGCTAGAGAATATCATTCTTCAGAGTTGGGCACCTAGGAAGACTCTACTTCTTTGCTGTCAGTGAGCTAGCTTGTGGGAGAAATAAGCTCAGATCTGTTGGCCCTCAGAAAACAAAAGGCTTGTGACTGAATGTATTCACCTTGTTTATTTGGTCATTTTTTTCACGGTCCATTTATCTAACAAATATCCGTGGAGCAGCCATGTGTGCCTCTGGAAATCCTCTCCACTGCTTTAAAGGAGGTTCTTCTGTTTTGCTTCTCTTGCCCTTTTCTGTCCCTTCTTGTACTTCCTCTTTACCTTGCCTTATTTGTCACTTCAGTGTTGGGGTGGCCTCTGTTGTAGCTACATAACTCCCTTTTAATGATATTTATAATTTAATTTTATATTTATATAAAATTATATATATAATTTAATTTTATAATTAATTAAAAATTTAATGATATTTATAATTTCTATTTTATTTAGTGTCCATGTCTCATTTCTTTTATTGCAATGAATATTCTTGGAGGTCAGTGCCTATGTGCTTCATTCTTTTTTTTCTATTTTTCTTTTTCTTTTTTTTCTTAATTATTTTTATTAAAATATAATGTGTTATTTGCCCCAGGGGTGCAGGTCTGTGAAATCGTCAGGCTTACACATTTCACAGCACTCATCATATCATGTACCCTCCCCAATGTCCATAACCCAGCCACCCTATTCCTAACCACCCCCCCAGCAACTCTGTTTGTTTTATGAGATTAAGAGTCTCTTATGGTTTGTCTCCTTCCCGATCCCATCTTGTTTCATTTTTTTCCTTCCCTACCCCCTAGGCCCCCCCACCCTGACTCTCAAATTCCTCATATCAGGGAGATCATATGATAATTGTCTTTCTCTGATTGATTTATTTTGCTCAGCATAATACCCTCTATGCAGCCATCAAAAGAAATGAAATCTGGGCATCTGGGTGGCTCAGTGGGTTAAGCCGCTGCCTTCGGCTCAGGTCATGATCTCAGGGTCCTGGGATCAAGTCCCACATAGGGCTCTCTGCTCAGCAGGGAGACTGCTTCCCTCTCTCTCTCTCTCTCTCTCTCTGCCTGCCTCTCTGCCTACTTGTGATCTATCTCTGTCAAATAAATAAATAAAATTAAAAAAAAAAGAAATGAAATCTTGCCATTTGCAATGACATGGATGGAACTAGAGGGTATCTGCTTCATTCTTATATTTCCAAAGCCCATGGCAGAGTGCTATTGTTGTGAAAGCAGGACAGGATTAAATCCAAAGCCGGCTGTCTGTTTTGTATAACAAATGGTCACCTTTAATCCTTTCTCCTGCTACTGTCCTCAATCTAAAATTATTGAGAAAATAAGGTTTCAGTTATGTGGTAGACAAAAACCAGAGTTGGATTATATTTATATTCATATTCATATTTTATTAGATTACTATAGCCATGTACAGCAAACAAAATTCCATAATGCCAAGCCACCTGGTCAAGCTGCTAGGGAGACCAGGGCACTCAAATGGGAATAATGATAATTATGACACTCACAATGACTGTGGATATTGTCAACTCTTATCCCTTAGGAAGTGGTCACTACTAGCTACATAATATACTGAATTACATGTATTATCTAACTTGATCCTCACAACAACTTTTTACCATAAATACCATAAGGTCAACTGAAAAAAAGAAAAAAGGAAACTCAGGAAAAATCAACAACTTACTCTTACCCATGGTTATATAATTAATGAAGGCACACAGCCACATCAAATCCTATCAACAATACTCTTGCCCTTCTCCCCCTGTGATAGAACCACTCAATGAGTGTTGAATCAATTTAAACACAGAATTCCTCTAGGAATGTCTCTACATGATACATTCCGGGTTCTGTCAGGAACATCCAGGGGCACAGCACTTAGGACCCAGCTACTGCTGACTTCATGGAACCTGGAGCTCTAGTATAGGATGGTAACTGGGGCTGGGACTCCCGCTGGGAAATCTAGGGAGCTCATCTAGTTCAATGATGTCATGTTGCCATCAAACCATGTTATACTTTAAGTCTTTATTCGGGATACCAGAGTCTGGCATTCACCATGAGATCTCACTATAGAAACTATTTGTTGAATATTTAAGTTCCTAAAATAGTCTCAGGGTTATTCTTGGCATTTGAGTGTATGGTGGTGAACAAAACGAACACATTCTGTTGTTCACTACTTTCATCCCAACACTAGACTACAGCCTAGAAGATTCTAACTGCTCATTAAACACTTGTTGTATGAGGAATGAATGCATGAATAAATGGATTTCTGCTTTAGCTCCATGACTTAACATCTTCCCCTTCTTACCCGTGTAGCTCATGTCCTCAGATCCCAAATTTTGGTAAATAAATTTTTCTTCCAGGGCCAACATTCCTGCAGCTCTTCTCATCCCCACCCCCTTCTTTGACCAGCCCAATGGTTGGCTTAATTTTTATTTTTCAGTTCCTGCTAGAGGGTGCCAACCAGTGTTAAGTGATTGTACCAGTCAGCTTAGGCTAAGTTATGCTGTGGTAACAGCTGACCCCAGTATCTCAGTGTTTAGGAAAACAAAGATAAGTTTATTTTTCATTCACATGAATGGCTGCTCATCAGGTATAGCTTTACTCCAGAAGCAGCATATCTGAGATACATTAATATCAGTTCTATAGCAAAGGGAGACGACAGAGTCACCAAATATCTTTTAGAGCTTCTGCCTGAAAGAGATGTTCATCACTTTCATACCCATTCATCAGCCAAAACAATTCGTGTGACCAAACCTCAATTCAAGGTTTAGATCAGTACAGTCTTTCCACAGAAAGGGGTACCATGAGTCATGTGACCAAGCCTAAT